TTTGCCATTATAAGGCCAGTTTTGGTTTGGACATTTACGCCCGTATTCTAAAAGCTCACTCACACTCAATGAGTGGAGGTTCAATCTGAGCTTCTCTCGAGTGTCATTGCTGTTTTTGAATAGCTGGAGGGTTAGTGTCGTAGCTTGCTATGTGACTACTCACCCTCCAGCTGTTCAAAAACAGCTATGACACACAAGAAAAGCCCAGATTAAACCTCCACTCATTGAATGTGAGTGAGCTTTTAGAATACTGGCCTTAGATTTCGAATAATTTCATGGAAAGCAACTTTAATTTTGATTGAGAGTTTGTCGAGAAATGTCTTGGAAGACTGCATCTTGTCCTTTTCAGGGAGTTGGCTCGAAGAGAAATGTTTTCCTTGGTAAAAATGTCAGTTTCTGATCCAACCAAGACCCACCCCTGGCCAAAAACTTTACAAAAGGATACTATTCAGTTGTCATACATGTTCTTTACCACTTCTCTGACATGAGTTGATAACTGCTTTTGTAATTTTTTGCAGTCTAAAGTTTCATGTTGTCTGCACTTGTACTTTCTTTGGAGACACCATTTGCCTCCAGAGAAATCCAAAAATGGTCAAGATCGTGACTCTGATTGATTGATTGATTGATTGATTGATTGATTTACATATTGTATTGACATGCGACTGTTGATACTACTTTTTAGTCTTCAATATTAGAATGAGTCCTACTTTGGAAATGACAATAAATTTTTATTACCCAACCCTTGAGTTGTTTTGATTTTCATCATCCTTTTACTCACTCAAAATTTTGTTTACCCGACCTTTTTTCTTTCTGATCGCTCCCTATAAGTTTCTTGGAGCTGACGGTTGGTGGCGCTTTGCCTCAGCAAAACATCTCCCCGGTCGGGGAATACCGAATTAAGTAGGCCTCTTGGACCTGCTAAAACTGTTATCTTTTATTCTAAACTAAAATGTCTGTAAACTTTCTGTCAATTTTATATAGAGTCGTAAATCCTAAACACCTGTCGTTTGCTTTTGCCCTACATTATCTTTCAAACAAAGTTATTGCAAACATCCCTGGTCCTATCTTGTTTGGTCATGTAGTAGATTTGAGCTGCGATATTTGGCAAAAGATTTGTGATGAGACTGGTTTTTGTATGATCTATGATATGGACCATATGATGAATCAACTCGCGATTGTCACTGGTAGTCTCACTGGTAGGTTTAACGGTTTTTGGCGAAATTACAGTTATTTTGTTGCAAAAATATTGTTTCCTAGCCATTTTCCGGGAAGTGGACGAACCAGGCACTATTCACTTCAATTCACCAACACTGAGGCGAATAATTGTTTTAGCATATACCATAACAAAACAAAAGTGATGAAATATAACAACGAAAATATATTTTTAAGACAATTTGTATTTCAGCTAGCTCCTGTAATAGTTGTAAAACAAAGTTGTAAAACAAAGTTGTAAACAAAACAATGATCTGGTTTCTTGCACTTCACCCTAAAAACAGCGTTCTAAATTTAAACAAACAGTATTTACAAGCTTTTAGTAATTTTATTCATTAGAAATAGCTTTATATAAAGACAAAACCTTATGGTTTTCCTTGTGTTTGGTGAAACGGCAGCTTCATTTAGTATGTCCGGAGGTGCGGTGCCATAGTGCAAGGATAACGAAAAGCACTATACAGTATGGCTTACCGAAGAGAAGACGGCAGTGAAACTCATTAGAATAACAATATAACTCATTATCTATGTTAGTCAACGTTTATTTATAAATCTGGTCCTTCACCGTCACGTGCGTATTGTATTTTTGCCCAATTCAATAGTTTTAGGAAAGTTACCTATCCTTGACTCAACAATAGGGTAAATTGGAAATGACTGTTGGTGGATTTGACAAAAATACAATACACACGTTACGGCGAAGGACCAGATTTATAAAATATGAATGTTTATATATTCATATTTCATAAATCTGGTCCTTCACCGTCACGTGTGTATTGTATTTTTGTCAAATCCACCAATAGTCATTTCCAAAGTAGGACTCATTGTAATATTGATAGATAATGAGTTATGTTGTTATTCTAATGAGTTTCACAACCATCTTCCCTTCGATAACCTATGGGTTAACTGGTATAAAATTCAATTTGTTTTCATATGAAAAACGAGGCAGCTTCGCCAGGTGAGATTTCATTTTGCACTAGGTCTCAGACTTGTTGGATACATTTTTCCGTATAGAGCGTCGTCCCACCTTACCAAGATGGGCATTGTTTGGTGATTCTGACCTATATAATAGTTTTGAATGTCACAGCCGGCACGGCCCTTCGTCCCATCGAAGCTGGCCGGCATGCAATGATCATGACATCATGTTAACAAGATTTGAGATCTTCATGTGTTTTTACTCATAGTTATTTTAATAGATGGTTAGGAGACTCGATGAAAGTACAATATAACTCATTCAGGGGTGTAACTTCTGGGAGGGTGGGTGGGAGGTGACCCCCCCCCCCCCAATGTTTACAAATGCAATTTTGTCGGGCAACTTGTTCAGGGCACGTGCTATTTGTTGGGCAAGGTTACCTTGCTTTACTGTAGTAAACAACGAAAAAACCGTATTGCAGAATTTGAAGATTGACCGACGACCGAGTTTTGTTTTTAGCATTGTTCTTAGCGTGTTTGGATCATGCATTTCAATCAGCAAGAAATGAAGTACTATATAAACCTCGAAGATGATACCGCGGGCTCAATATCGAAAACTTGTAAATGTGTAATTGTTAAGCAAACGAGACGAAAATGTGAGAGTTTATTCATGGTTTAGTGCTTTTTGTGACGCGTTGTTATGTTTTAAATGTCTGCTCAAAGCTCACGACGTCACTAGCATATTCATAATATACATTAGCAAATACTTGTGTAAAACTACTGTCCACGCCCGTTTTGTCGGGCAAAACTTGATTTCATTGGGCAAATATTGTTGACACCCCCCAAATGCTGATACCCAAGTTACGCCCCTGAACTCATTAACTATGTTACTGTCCAGCTTTATGCAAGAATTTGGTCCTATCTCCTCACGTGTGTATTGTATTATTGTGTTATCCATCCGTAACTTGGACAAATGTTCAATTTAAACATTGCTATTGGTTGTGCGGGAAAAAATACAATACACACGTGACGAGATAGACCCAAATTCTTGCATAAACCGAAACCAACACAGTTAATGAGTTATATTGTACTTTCATCGAGTCTCCAAACCATGTATTCTCTTAACTGAGGTTTACTCGATCTTGTAAAATTTTCTAGGAATTGGGCTGGTGTGTTATGGCATCTCGTGGCTCGTGTACAAGGAATTTGAACCAGTGGGCGTGGCGAAAAAAAGTTTGGAGATTAATAACCAAGGATATCTGGGTGATATGGATAAAAACGGCACCGATACGAGAATGTAATGATGCGGAGGTATATTGCTGAACTTGCCGCCAGGACATGCATTGTAATTTTGGAATTTTAATTTTTGAATTTCACAAATTCATTTGGATCAATAATGCGTACAATATATTATCAATACAGTTATACATATGAATTAATAACTTGAAGATCCAAAAGGCAAGGTGCATATGGGTCCTTTTTCAGTCCCGCGTTCGTACCAATAATTTAGATTTTGTGTACTTAAATGTTACACATATTAGTACCCAAAGGTTCCAGAAAATATTTGTCAAAAACAATAAGACTTTGATTTAATGTACTTATTGTTACTTGAATTAATTTCACATTCTTCTGTATTTTGAAGGAATAGAATTCAAGCGCAATAGCAAAAGTTGGGCATATTGGCTTCTTCATATGTATATCAACTTGTATTTAAAGCCTATATAAGGCGTCATATACTTATATATAGACAACCAGTGCCAGGCACATTAACGGATATAACCTGTTTTGTAGGCAGTATATTTATTTCAATGTTTTGTGGTCATAATACACTCGCGGTGTTTTGACTGTTTTGATTTGTAAAATTGAAAATAGCTGTAACTAGTTAACAGGGTGTTTAAAAAAGGCGAACCTTTAGAAATCCACCTGATTGTTATAATTTGAATGCCAGAATCCTATACTAAACCAGGGCGAAGGGGAAAAAAACCCATGGGGTGCCTAAACACAATACACTCTTTCGATAATTACGTCACAACTGTTTTCAACTTATGACCACCTTAAATGGAAAGGATTTCAAGTTTTTTTCTCATGGGCTATACACAGAGAAGCAGAACATCCTTCTTCAACACATGCATGAAAAAGAATTCTTTATTTTGACCAATAAATGTGGAAATAAGCTTTAACACGAAAACGAGGCTCTAGGTCATGACCTGGAGCCTCGTTTTCGTGTTAATGCTTATTTCCATATTTATTGATCAAAATCCAAAATTTTTTTTCATGCATGTGTGTTGAAGAAGGATGTTCTGCTTCTCTGTGCATAGCCCATGAGAAAAAATCTTGAAATCCTTTCCATTTAAGGTGGTCCTAAGTTGAAAACAGTGTAGTTGTGACGTAATTATCGAAAGGGTGTATTGAACTGAATTTTATCCATGGAAGGTTCACTTTTTTTGAGACATTCTGTAGTAGTATTTTTATTGTTAATTTTTTCTAAAATATATTTTATATTGTCAAGAGTGTGTAGAAATTTGTCAGCCGGCTATCATTGCATCGTATATATATATAGTGTCTGTATGTCTTATAAATGCATGAGTGACCAAATACAGCCAGTCAGCCACAACAAAGTAGGCATGTTGCAGCTTAGCCTTAGTACAGTGTTTTGAAAATATGGCTGTACAACAACCTCGACATGCTTACATATTTAACCACGATATTTAACTGAAGCATTCGGACTATTTTCTCGTGAGCTTACAAATCAATTAAAATTGGAGCAGATTTTGTTGGTGGTGGTGCTGGATTTCTCTGAGGGATGCCTAGCCACCACCCATCGGGCACACGACGTTGTTTCAACGTTGAAATTTGGTAGAAAAAAGGTTGCGACGTCGACAACCTAATATCTACGTCTCCCTGACGTTGTTTTACAAACATTGGTTCAACAGCAGCCAACAGACGTTGAATTAACGTTCATTCATGGTTAAATGTACGACGTCGATTTGTGAACCAATCTCAACGTTGTTTTAACGTGGATTCAACGTTGAATTATGGTTGACGAGATTGGCAACCTAATTTCAACGTTGTTTCAACGTCGAAACAGTAACGTCGATCCAATTTGCATAGTCAACCCTTTTTCAACGTCTATCCAACGTCTGGAAGGTCATTTCCGACGTTGATTCAACGTTGGATAAGCGCCATTTTGCCCGCTGGGAAGCCATCCGTTATTGTTGCCTAAAACTGTCGAATGCAACCTGCTTACAACTTGAGTTGTACTGTGTAAATCGTAGGCGAGTTATGTGCTTGATTTACCCAGTACAATCAAATTGTAAGCAGGTTAATTGTATGCGACAGTTTTAGGCAAAAATTGCATGTGTGGTGTAAATAATTGGACAGAAAGATAAAACTCTTTGGTAGTATTTCTACATTTAGGACATTTCTACATCTTTGAACTTTCTATCGCATAATTTTTAAATATTTCTCATAGTTATGTGGTGTATGTATGTCATCCTTGCATGAAAATTTGTTTATTTATACTTTAGGAACTTCGTGAAAATCACA